GGGGGGCTGCTGTGCCCACCTTGGGGGCTGCTCTGCCCACTCTGGGGGCTGCTGTGCCCACCTTGGGGGCTGCTCTGCCCACCTTGGGGGCTGCTGTGCCCACCCTGGGCGCTGCTCTCCCCATCTTGGGGACTGCTCTGCCCACCCTGGGGGCTGCTGTGCCCACCCTGGGCGCTGCTGTCCCTGTCCTGGGGGCTGCTGTGCCCACTCTTGGGGCTACTGTGCCCACCCTGAGCGCTGCTCTCCCCACCCTGAGGGCTGCTCTGCCCACCCTGGGGGCTGCTGTTCCTGTTCTGGGGGCTGCTGTGCCCACCCTGGGGGCTGCTGTCCCTGTCCTGAGGATTGCTGTGCCCACCCTGGGGGCTGCTCTGCCCGGTGCCCCCCGTCCTGCTCGAAGAGCCACAGAGCAGTGGGACCCAGAGATGTCCCAGAGGGGCTGCCAGAGGTGTCCCCAGGGGTGCTCTGCTGGTCCCCTGGTGTCCCCAAAGGCTGTGGGGACCTCTGGATGCTCTATAGGGACGTTGTGGCTGCAGCCACAGCCCTGCCCGTGCCCAGGGGGTCTCTCTGGTGGGGTCTCCCCTCCCGGCGGGTCCCGGGGGGGCCGTGGGTGCCCTGTCCCACCCCAGCCATGCCGGGAGGACTCGGGGGGGAAGGGGTGGGCAGTGCCAGGAAAACGCTGTTTACAAAATAAAGGAGCGAAGGGTCGTTCCGGAGCCGTGTCCCTGCCGTGCCCGGGGATGTCCCTCCGTGCCAGCGGTGGGAGAACAGGGATGGGACCCCCCCCGACACCCCCAGGGATGAAGAGCCCCATGACCATTCCCCTGCGGCCCTTTGGGGTGGGGCCGGGGGGTCCCCGTGTGTGCCCGCGGGTGGGTGCGGTGGGCACGCGGGTGTGGGGGGGGTTGTAAGAGGGTCTGTGAGGGTGGGCTGGGGGCGCGCGGGTGGGCGGTGGGCACACGGGTGGGCGGTGGGCACCCACTGCCCTTGCCGTGCCCGGGGCGGGGGATTTCCCCGACACAACCCCCCGTGCCCCGCGCGTTCCTCGGGGGTCCCGGCAGCACCGGGGGGGTCCCGGGGATGGGGGGAAGCCGGGCGGGCCGGTGACCTTGGCGAGCCGCCGGCCCTGCGCAGCGCCGGGAGAGCCGGGGCAGGGCCGGGCCGAGCTCCCGGTGCCGCCCCTTCCCTCCCTGCGCGGAGCCGCACCGGCGGCACCGGCGGCACCGTCGCGCTGCTGCGGGCGGGCCCCTCCCGCCGCCGGCACCGGGGACACGGTGAGTGCGGGGCTGCGGCGGCTCCGCTCGCTGCGGGGCGGGCGCGGGGCGCCGGGACGGGACCCCCCCCCCGGGTACCGGTGCCGGTACCGGACGGGACGAGGCGGACGGGGGGGGCCCCCCCCGCCCGGGGGGGGGGGTTTCCCCCCCCCCCCCCCCCTCCCCGCGCTGCGCTGCCCGGGCACCGGAGTCCCGCAGCCCCGGGGCCGCCGCCGCAGTGTCCCGCACTGCAACACCGCGCCGGGCCCGCGGCCGCGGGCGGGCACAGCCGGGGCTGCCGCATCCCCCCGCCCCGCCCGGGGCACCGCGACCCCCCGGAGGGGCTGCGCATCCCCCCCTGCCCCCGCGCTCGGCACCGCGACCCCCCGGAGGGGCTGCCCTGCTCTCAGCGCCCCCGGCACGGGGCACCGGAGCCCCCCGAGGGTCTACCCCGTTCTTTCTGCCCCCGGAGGGAACACCGGAATCCTCGAGTGGGACTTTCCCGCTCCCCCTGCCCCGGCTGGGTACCGGGACCCCCGGGGGGCTGCCCCGCTCCTCAACCCCGCGGACCGACCGGGGCTGCCCCGCTCCCCCTTACCCTGCACTTGGCACCGGGACCACCGGGAGGGGCTGCCCCGCTCCCCCTGCCCCCG